ATTCTGGGTTTATTCAGAAACATTTAGGGTTGTAGGGCTAAATTTACAAGTCTAACAACTCTGGGAAGAAATACTATTTACTTAAAAGAACTGTTCCAAATGACCATTATTTCTTAATTTCAAAGTGCACTTTAGTAAATACATCATGAACATCGCAGTGGATGCGAGATTGGGTAAAGAGTGATCTAAAGCAGGAAAAATGTAAGGCTTGGGTGATGCAACAAATTTGTGACCTAAATTGGAGTTTTTCAAGCCATGCACACCAAATTAGGCCATGATAAAAAAAAMTGTCAACCAAAGCTCAGAATTTTGTTAGACTGCTACAGAGCCTGTGATGGGACATGGGGGGATTTTTTTTATTTTGCATTCTCACGCAATAKTATTGTGTTACCTCGCAACACGTTTGCGTTATATAGCAATATCTTTGCATTACCTCACAWTACTTTTGCTTTARCTCACAAAACTTTTTGCGTTTCCTTGCAAACATTTGCATTCGCTCGCAAAATAGTTTTGCGTTGCCACGCAAAACTTTGTTTTGTTTATGAACTGAATRAAATCAGACTTTTATTTTGAAATATCCGGTTAYCAAAACAGGATGTGTTGCCACAAGTTCGTAAAATTGACATTGATGTTGCGTGGTTGCACTGTGTTAAAATATCAGCATATGACATACTTCCATGCGTGGCTGTGTGATATATTCATTCGAAGCTGAATTAAAGCAGAAGGCTAACTCGCTAATGGGGAACATGTGAATTTGTTAATAAACCGGCAGGCACAGCAGTGATAAACAACTTTTGCGAGGGGACACAATACTACTGCGTGGCAATGCAAAAGAAAAAAATTCTCCCATGTCCCCTCGCGGGCTCTGTAGACTGCAAGTGAAAATTTGCCTATTTTATAGTATTTTTTCTGTGTCCCTAAGTCCTGTTCAGGATTGSAAAGGAGCAATCCCAATCTCATCAGTTATTAGGCAAGAGACTGGGTACATCCTGTGGAAAACATTCAAGTAAAATTGTGCTAATTAGAGCTCAGTTTGCTGTGACTGCCATTGCATACTGTCAGACTGCATATCATGTGCACATATACATGTACCTACAGTATAAATTCTGCCAATTCAAATACTGCATAATCTATGGAAGGAAGCATATGAGTTGAGTTTCTCACCACATCTCCAAARGTTTGCTGCTAAGAAAATAGTTTAAAAAATGTTGTCAGGAGGCTTTGTTATTGTTATTATCTTGATTTTTGAGCAAAATGTCCAAGACATTCCTTTAAGASCTTACAATATTGAGTGAATTTGTGAAAAATAAAGTGTTACAGMATTTCTACATTAAACATGATTTATTATTGTCAGGATTCCTTTTTTTCARAAATAGTTACAGGCCATCATGCTGAAATGAACTCTAATGTTATGGCAGGAGAGAAAAGTCAGCTGTTCATTCGAGCACATAAATGCATCAGAGGCTTTCCCAAATGTGAGCTCTGGCTTAGTATGTCTTAGATGTCATTTTAAAGTTTAAAGKTGCTCTGAATCATTTTCATTTTTCCACATTAAAAAGTGAATGTATGATACCTTCTGACTCGCCAGCTTATTTGAAAATGACAGAATGTGTCGTGTGTATTTCTACCTTCATTTACAGGGATGCCTTTTTAGGACCCTTTCACACTGGATGGTGACCCTTCAATTATGTAAAAGAAAATCTGCCATGAAGGTTGTCGTTACCATGTTCTATCAGGGTCTTCAGGCATGTAAGCAGTGGGGTCCCAATTACACATGTCAGAAAGAACACAAGGCTAGGTGTGAGGGACTAAGAGAAGCCCAAGAAGAGGGCAAAGTATTGGCAAAAAATTGTAACCCTTCAAACAAATACACCATACATCATCATCATCATACAAAACTGCAAAAGTATGAAGGGTCAAAATAAAAAAAAATTCCTTGGAGGCTTAAAACTATATACATATATA